ATAATTTTATACCAATTAAGTCCCAGCTAATTTTAAAAAGCCAATCAAGTCCCATGCTGTTTTTTCCCAATCAGAATTACAAAGAAAATGATGAAAATACCCCTATGAGTAAATATAACATGTATACTCATCAGCTTCAACATTTCCCTCCCGATTTATCTCTTTCCCGCCATTGATAAGAGCTGCATGTAAGTGGTGGAGCTATACATTGAAGAATACCCATTCTTGAAATAGAGTTATGCTTGAAAGAGGTGAGTTGCCTTAATTATTGACTCAAGGAAGCTTAAGGAGTTGTGTTGATGCGTGCAGACAGGTTTTTTTTTTTTTTACAAATCCTTGCATCTGAACAAAAAGGTTTACTCCATGAAGGTTTGATTTCTTACAAAATGGCTTTCCTGAGGAAAAAGATGGAACGGTTTTCTACAATTGAACATGAAAGATTTTTTTTATTTCATGTTTTTAAATATTTGGCATGAAGATTCGACATTTTGCAACTGAAAGTGTAAGAAATTACTATCGAGTGTCCATATTTTAAGATGGAACGCTCTCACTGTTTAACTAATGCGAAAATCACTTATGTCAAAAGTAACTTGTTTCTAAGTAATATATTATTACATTTTATTTTGTTTCTTGTAGGTTAATATTATTGGGTACGATGGAAAGTAGTTGTTTAAAGGAAATTTTTTATTATTTTCATTTTAGTGGAGATATTGTAAAAGATATGCATAGAAAATGCATTATGATGGGGGGAGTTGTAATGGAAGAATGATTAGAGAAGTAATGTTGCTTGAAAGACTTGTTAGATTGATTTCATCATGCTTGAATTGTGATTTAAATGGAATGGAGTTGAAGTACACAGTAAAGTTTAATTGCAATGCTCTTTTAGACCTTAAAGATGATGAAAGGATAAATCAATTAATGAAATTGAATGATAATTTTGCTCATGTGTACATCATTGGGAAGATATAGCAAAGTATAGAGGCAACAAGAGATTCAATTGATGGGTAAGTTTTTTTAATAGTTGCATAATTAATATTATATTAATATGAATATGGATGGTAGTAATAAACATGATTTGAATGAAAATGCAGAGCAGGATGTTCAGCTGAGAATTCACATGCTACACAAGATCTTGAAGTTCTACCATGTGCAATACAAAGTATCCCAACACCAATGCCTGAGCTAAATGCAACAAAGTGAAAAGATTTACTAGTAGGATCTGAGCAGATTTTTGCGAGTGCTAATGATTGTAGACAAGCGATCTACAAGTATAGTGTTGCACTATGCATGTTATCTTCGTAGTTCATAGGAGAAAGTATACAATGGCATTATGCATCATGTTGAGACCCATGAGATGTCAAAGCCAAATGCATTGACAGTATCTAAGCTCATAAGCCAAACCTTTTTGCTACCTCCTAGAACATCTCAATCAGCCGGTAGACCTCATCATGTGAGGATTGAGTCTCAATATCAGCAGAAAAAGGTTTATCATTGTTCTCATTGTCATGAAGCAGACCGTACACGAAAGAGGTGTAGAAATCTAAATTCAAGTTGATGTTATTGTAAATAGGTTACCACATGAACTTAGATTTGGGTGATATATATATATATAGATAGTTTTAGATCAAGTTAGATTTGGTTAACATATATAGGTTTTTTATACATATATATTAGTAATATTGGGGGTTTTTTTGATACATAGCAACCCCTCTTTTATAAATTCAAGTTCATACTTTTGTGTATGTAGACAAATGATATGTGCAGATGCATTAGATGAATTAATACATGCAACTTATATGTACAGTTCATATCTTCTGTAATCACTAAAAGTGTGTTGTCTTAAAATTTCGAATAGAGGTTGCAAATTATTTGTAAGGCAGTTACAAAATGTGATATGTCAATTGCAAATTACTGGAACCATGTCCTAAAATAATTTGGTAGCTTTGCAAGTTTAAGAATTCAAAAGTTATTCCATCCAAAATTTCGAGAATGAGTTGCAAATTATTCGTAAGGAAGTTACAATATTTCATATGTTAGTTGCAAATTACTGGAGTCATATCCTAAAATAATTTGATAGCTTTGTAAGTTCAAGAATTTAAAAGCTATTCCCCAAAATTTTGAGAATAAGTTGCAAATTATTCGTAAGGAAATTGCAAAATTTAGTATATTAGTTGCAAATTACTAGAGCCATATCCTAAAATAATTTGGTAGCTTTGCAAGTTCAAGAATTCAAAGTTATTCCACTCAAAATTTTGAGAAGGAGTTGTAAATTATTCGTAATAAAGTTGCAAAATTTGGTATGTCAGTTGCAAATTACTGGAGCGTTATCCTAAAATAATTTGATAGCTTTGTAAGTTCAAGAATTCAAAAGTTATTCCACCTAAAATTTTGAGAAGGAGTTGAATTTATTTGTAATGAAGTTGCAAAATCTAGTATGTCAGTTGCAAATTACTGGAGCATGTCCTAAAATAATTTAGTAACTTTGCAAGTTCAAAAATTAAATAGTTCTTCCACCCAAAATTTTGAGAAGGAGGTGCAAATTATTTGTAAGAAAGTTGAAAAATCTGGTGTCTCAATTGCAAATTACTGGAGCATTATCCTACAATATTAACTTTAAGAATTTAATAGTTTTTTCGCCTAAAATTTTGAAAAGAAGTTGCAAATTATTTATAAGACAGTTGCAAAATCTGGTGTCTGAATTACAAATTACTGGAGCGTTATCCTAGAATAATAACTTTTTTAAAATTCAATGGTTCTTCCATCCAAAATTTTGACAAGCAGTGGCAAATTTGTCTCGAGTTAGTTACAAAACTGGGTATCTAAGTTGCTTGACAACTTGATTGATTGGGTATAATATATAACTTGAACATTATAAATACGTTTCAATATTAGAAGTTGGAAATAAAATTGTGAAAACAAATTACAGAATTACAAAGTTGCAAACTTGATTAATTGGGTACAATGTATAACTTCGAACTTAAAATCCATTTGAGCATGTCATCACTTGTACAAACTACATAGTCCCTTTCAGCTGAGACACTTAAGGAAAAAAATTGAAGAAGCAATTTCTGCATAATCGAAATGGTAAATATTGATGAGGATCAGACTCTTCAGCTAGGCAAATGCATCACACCCATCAAAGATTAATGACCAAAACAGATTACAGATTAATGACTTAAGCAATTGATCACTTAGGGCAGAGAAGAGATGTTAAACAGGACTAGAATAGAGATGATAAATAGCTTTATTGGATAGCTCGGGGAAGAGATGATAGAGAGCTTTACTCGCTTGCAATGAGACAGGGAAGAGACGATAAACAAAGTAGGGAAAGAAGAGACGAGGAACAGGGCAGGGAAAGAAGGGATTACGAACAGGGCAGGGAAGAGTAGATAAGGAGAAACCTCACATTTTCATCAGCCAAATAAGGGTATTTCGATCATTTCTCATTATATTAAAATGCCACTCAAGAACCTAGGGACTTAACTGGCTTTTCAGAATGTTTTGGAACTTATCTTGAATAAAATTGTGTCATTTTCCCTTTTTTTTTTTTCCTTCCGATTCTGATGGAGAGAAAGAAAGAAGGCATAGAAGGCAAAAGACGAAAAAGGGAAGATGATTGGATGTGGCCGCGGCAGGAGCTGTGGGGAAGCTCTGGTATCGACTGATACTTCCTGCCACCGTTCCCGGTCTGAAGCCATGTCATCGGAGCCGATTTCATCACCTGGCTGGCCCATTTTGCATCGCTCGGTGCCTTCCAGAAACATTAAAAAAAAAAATCTGGAGCCTACAAATACAAATCAAGATTAAAGGCACGTAAAATTTATTAATTGAACTAAATTAAAAATGTAAAAGACGAAAACAAAATTAGTAATTGAAATAAATTGTTGGCCCAAAAAATATTGAAATAAATTAAAAATTATCTGGTTCGGATAATATGATTGCCAAATCCTAGGCTCATTTATGGAAGCTTGCTTAACCCAATGACAATCAAGAAAGATTCGGCTTATGACATTGCCGCAAATGGCGTGCCATGTGGCAACTGACTAGGACTAAGGGTGACATGGCGTCCAGGTGGCTAGGTGACTAAGATGATGGCAGGACTAACTACTGACATGGTGTCCAGGTGGATGGGTGACTGGGAGTAAAGGGTTGATATGGTGTCCACTTGGATGTGACAGGGATAAATGATGACTTGGCATCCAGGTAGGTGTGACTTGGATGATGACTGGGGATAAGAGCTGACATGGCGTCCAGGTGGCTAAGTGACGGGTGAACTACTGAAACTGGGTCCAGGTGTCTGTGTGACTGGGACGAAGGGCTAACATGTTGCCCAGGTGTCTGCGTGACTTGGAGGATAGCTCTGACTAAGGGCTAACATGTACAGAATGATTTCATCATGTAATTTATTAGATTCTTCATATCATATTAATGTGAAATATAAAATTATAATTTAGTAACTTGAACAAAAGTACAAAAATGTATAATTATTTTTTTGAAAACATGTATAAATTTTGAAAAAAAAAATGCAGGTTTATATAACTTCATTAAAATTAAAAATAAAATTTTTCAATCAATTAAAAAAATTTAGAAAAAAAAACTCATTCATTCCTCTCAGTAAAAATTAGAATATAACTTAATCAATCCTTTTGAAACCAACCCTTTCACTTATTTGAAAGATGATTTAATTTAAACTTCATCTCTTCCAAATGTCATCACAATAGCAAACAAAGACTTAATTTGGACAACCAAGTAAAATTGAGTCTAACAGTAAAAATTAGTTTTTCATAAGATGATAAATTAAAATTCAATTCCCATCGGCCTCTAATAGAATAATACCAATGAGGGGATAAAAAGGATTAAGTTGGGCAGTTCCCACACCAGGAATTCGTACGTGACAGTTGATATATATAGAATGATATGTTAACATCGCCATGAACAAGGTAACTTCCAATATTGAGTTATATGCAACACACGAAGCTAGCTATGAAAACACAAGATGATTTGGCTCCAATAACGAACCCTTTATTCCATTTCACGTAGAAGCATTTGACTATTGAATTTATCCAAGAGATGTTTCAACCTGCTGCTAAATACATACTATACATTATACAAATATAATAGTTTGGCTGGCTTTCTTGCGCGTCTTGGGCACAAAGAATTGTAATGGTACAATGATTCTCATGTCTTCATCCTAAAATTTATGATAAAAGCTGAACGGCGGCTATGGAAGGTATTTTTTCCCGCAACTTTTGTGTAACAGCAACACGCACAGTCATGACGCCAGCAGCTGGACCAGTGATCCGGACCTTCACTATTGGCTCTTCAATGGCTACCAGCTCCAGAGACCCTTGAGCTGCTCCAACCAGGTATGGCCTTATTTCCTCCAACGCCTGAATCAGTTTTTAAGAGTTGAACTATATTAACATCTGATGCTGACATCAAATAATAAGCACTTCCCAAGAGAGATTGAAGAATAATTACATCAATAATCAAGATAGGATGTTCCCCCATTCTCCATCAACAAATTACAGTTTGCATTTTTTTATTTTTTTCCATAAAGAAAGTCTAGGTAAGTTGGATCTCAGGGACATCAAGGTCAGCACATGCTTTTAGACTCAAAAAATACAAAAAATATTCATAGAGGAACTTAAAAATTACCTGCTAACAAAGTTCTCATATCAGCAGTGAGAGTTGAATCTATAACCTTATGGATCATGAGTCACCAACTTAACCAACTCTTGTTAGCAAATTACAGTTTGCTTTTTGCAATGCCAATAGTAATTAAGCTTCGACTGATCTTGGACCAATCTCATTACCCATAATCCCAAAACATATAACTTTATACTAAATTCTAATTTTATTTTCACCAGGATCAAGGCATCTTTCATTTGCTGACATGCTATAAATGAGCCTGACAAGCCACAAGCCATCTAGCAGATAGAATATACACCAATAAAAGTTAATAGTAGTTTCAAAGGTTTTACTAACATTTGTCTGCCATCAAAACTACAGAAGGATCCTAGCTTTTGATAGAGAAAACCCCCGTTTAACAATGCCAATAAATCCCAGTTCGTTTTTTATCACATAAAAATTGTCATGCCAGCAGCACTAACTTAATACCCAAAAAAAAAAAAGAAAAAAAAAAGATCCTCACTGTCAACACTCTTCAGTCTTCCTTGTCATGAATCACATAAGTCATAATTTATTTAATAGTGTAATTCTGTTTTGCCCCTCCTTGATTCAAATATAAGTATAAAATAAAAACTCAAGCCATTTATCGAACAGTGTTCTAGAAAGCATATGATGATTTGTGGATGGCAGATAAAAAATCTTGCTTAGCTCATAACGGGAGGGTTTTGCAACATGAATAATTGTCAGAAGTTGCTTGGTATCCATAGTCAAACATTTTCCATTACATAATGAACAGCAACTGCAAATTTTCAACCTTTGCCCTGTTTTCTTTTCTATTTAATTACCAGGTATCGGTCCATCATGTAGCCCCTATCAATTTTAATGACTAAAATGGCATTAGATGGTACATGATAGGTATTATTATTAGTCTTTTTTTTTTTAATGTCAAAAGAAGAAAGGATCTGTTTTTCTTTAAAGAACACCAAGTTCCTAAATCACTGTGCCACTCTTTTTTATTATCTCTTTAAGCCAACTAATGTTGAACTTGCTTCCTTTTCCAGATATAATAACATGCACGGTCTTCCTCTTAAAGCCCATTCTGCATGTCTCTATTTCTCTATCTTGTTCAGAGAAGAAGACAACCTAAGCATGGGAAATTCTACTACAATCAGTCAACCATAATTCATATAAATGCTAGAGAGAAACAAGCATAATATTAGAGTATGCCATAACTAACCTTCTCAATATTTTCTTCATTTAGCTCAAGGCCAGTTTCTTCATCAGCTACTTGTTCTACTGCCACTACTTCAGGGATCTTTTCCATTAAACGACGCTCAATACCCAATTTCATTGTGGTAACAGCACTTGGACAGGAGCCACATGCTCCTTGTAGCTTCAACCTTACAACATTACCATCAATTTCATGCAAAGCCACATTCCCCCCGTCAGAAATTAGATATGGACGAATTTCATCCAGCACACTTTCTACATTATCAGCAGTTAGTGGCAATTCCAGAGCTGGATCCGGAGTCGCGACGGCGTTCACAACTGCACAGGAACATGAAAATAAACCTTGAGTTTGACATCAATTAAACTGGGGGGGGGGGAGGATTTGTACTCAAAGACAGACCACGGTCTCGACGCTACTAAATTAAGGGGGGCAGAGACAAGCAACTAATTTCTTGCCCAAAGGAACATGGAAATGAACAGGATGCGATTTAACCCATAATTCTAACAAATGCAATAAACATTCGTTTCGGAGTCATGATTCTTGAACTCAAACCTCAGAAGTATTACCCGCCTCACAATTACAGGCAAATACAGGTTCTTTCGGAAATGCAATAACAACAAACAGTATGACTGAGATTAAGTGGAGAAATAAAAAGCAAAATCAAAGTACTCACCCAGCCGGCGTCGTATACCGTGCGGATAACGAATTCGACCAGAGCGAAACAAACTCAGCGGCACAAGAAAACCAACCTTCCTTAAATAGACATGGTTGCCGAAAAAGCTTGTACCCTGCAATTTTCCAGGAAAGATAGAATCCAATAAGAAACATGTCATCTGACAATAAAAATTATTTATGCAACAAAAGAAAGAGGCAAAAAAACCTTTGATGAGCGAGAACAAGAAGGTGGTTCTAGGGCTTGTTGGGTCCTGCAGTATGACGGTGTATTCAGAACTACAGCTTGCATCGCTGTTCGGTTTCGAATTTAGTGATGTAAAATGAAGTTCAGATGAAGAAATAGCCGGCCAGTGATGGAGATTCTGTTGCCTTTTCCTTCAGTTTCTCAGCAACCAAATCCGACCCGACGTCAGAGCGCCTAGAAAGTTCAGGCGGGCTTTCTTCCCTATATCTGGCTTCGTCCGCTGCTTGCGCTTCTTTATCATTATTTTTTATTATTCTTTCCCCGAAAATTTGCGGACGCGAAATTCACGAGTCAATTCTCCTCGATTGGTTTTGGGCTCTTGGCCAACAAAAAGAAGAAGAAGAGAAAATGACAATAAAATTATTTTAAAAATAATAATTTAATTTTTTTAAATATCATAAATTTTATTAAAGTTTTTAAGAGCTTATATATTAATAAATTTTAAATTAAAAAATTATTTTATTTTTGTTGATAAATTATAATTTTTTATTTAACTTTTATGATTCTTTAAATGCTTTGAAAAAATATTATTACCAATTTAGTTTTATTTATAAAATAATTGTCAATTTTCAATACCCCTCTTTATATTTTTATCTTCATTAAATGCTTTAAATTTAAAAATATTTATTAAGAGTAAATGTAAAAATTTGTTAAATTTAAAATAAAGTTAATGAGATTTGAGATTTTTTTATTTTTAGTAAAATATGCTGAAAATAATTTATAAATAAAAATAAATAAAATATTTTTAAATAAAAATTATAATTGGAGCTTGTTATTTTAAAAATTTATTTTTTAATAACACATTTGATAAGTTATGATTTCTTGTTCAACTTTTATAATTAACAGAACAAAAGTTATTATTTCTTAAATAAAAATTGTGATTGGGGCTTGTTATTTTAAAAATTTATTTTCAATAATAAAAATTACACTTGATAAGTTATGATTTTTTATTCAACTCTTACAATTCACAGAATAAAAATTGTTATATTTAAGTAAAAATTGTGATTGAAATTTATTTTTTAATAAAAATAAAATTAGGGACTTCAATAAAATTATGACATTTTAAAAACTCATATTATTATTTATATAATTTAAAATAATTTTATTATCATTTTTTTGTGAGTTATTATTATCATTGTACTAAAATTTGTATGTGAACATATTTTGTTTCAAACATTAATCGTTAAATTAAAAATTATTTAAATTATATATATGGTAAAAAGTACTTTAAAATATATTATTAAAAAAGAACATGAGATTGTAACTTGTAATTTTTATTATATAAATACATTTAAAAAATGTGTAATTTAAATTTTTAAATAACTGAATTTCTCACACTATTTAACTCTCTAACCAATGTGCTTTACACACATATCACTCTTAGCAAACGTATCGTGGTGAGCTTTGGCAAAGTACTTCCAAAATGAATTTTTAATCAACCATTCTCTTGTTAAAAGGTAATAGATGATAAGAGGAAGTTCTTTTTTATTCTTGTTTTTTATATAATCCTTTTTCAATGTAGTAACCTTTTTTTTTTATTGAAAAATGAGTTTTTTTTATGGATTTTTGTTTCCAACCAACTTTTAACTTTCAAAAAATACTCACAGAATTATCCAGAAGCAAGAAGTTGTTTTACCAAATAAACCCTTGAATGGAAGTGGGAAAAGAAGCAATTCAAAATTTTAAAAAATAGGCACAAACTCAAATAAGCCCTTATTTTCTGGTTTAAAGTGCCAACGTTTTGATTGATAAATTTAAATTAAATTTTAGATATAAAATCTCATTTAAATTTCATGCATTTTAATTTTTTTCATTTAAATAGTGTACAAAATTATAAAAAGAAGAAGAGAGATGGATTGAGATTTAAAGTGAAAATGAAATGTTAAGAATGATGAACAAATCTCTATTTTTTAACTAGTTATAAATGAGAATAAGAGATAAGAGTAGATACTAGAATAATGGAAATAGAAGTACCGATAATGAAAATATGGGGAAAAAAAATTTGAAGTAATTGAAATTCTGGATGACTAGTATCTAAAGGAAGTTTAAAATTGCAAAAGTCATAAGAAAACATGGATTTGACATCCATGGACCTTTACATATTTAAATAAAAGATTTAGTTTAAATCAAAATATTCACATATCCATCCATTGTTAAACCAAATGAGGAGATGATAGTAAAATTCCTCCACTTCCTTTGTTAACCTCTAAAATTTCATGTCATTTGAGCACATTTTTATTAAATTTTTAATATATTTTGATACAATTGTTTATACTTTGAACACTCAAGTTAGAAAAATGTGGGTATTATTTTGAAAATTCATATCATGGCTTTATTTTAATATTTTTAAGCTAATTTATTGATATTTTGGTTTAAGATTTAGTTGGATGCATTTTTTGTTGTTAATACTTCTAGATGAAGAAATCAAGTACATAAAGGTTAAGTTTTGTTAACAGTGAAAATAGTAAAATTGCCAGAGTCGTCTTAAAGTCACAACTTTCGACGTGACAAGAAAATGAAACTTTTTTTAGCTAATAAGTTAGGGTTTTGGAATATACATGACCCATGTTTGACTTTGGCCATCATTCTGGACTTTTTGGGAGTATTTAGGAGCTTTGGGTATGTTAGGGCATGAATTTGGTGGAGATTGATCTTGGGTTTAAAGATTGAAAGGGATTTTGACTTCATATCTTGTTTCTTCTTTTCTTCTTCCTTCTCTTTCCTTTCCTTTTATTCAATGTTTGTGCTGATATATTGTATTTTCTCATGGGTTTAATGAACATTCATAACTAAACCCTTGATTCTAGAATTATTTTGAACCCTTTATGTGACATCCTCATTTTAAATCAAGACTAATTAAGTTCAATAATTAATTAAGTGTATTTGTGAGATGTGTGGCCATAAAGGCCTAACAGGCGTATTTGGTCTCAATTTCAGTTCTAAACGTGGGTTTGAAGGAGAATCAAGTCACTCAGGAATAGAAAAGGAAGAATTTCTGAAGGAAGTGATTTTGTGCCATGCACCTCGACTTATGGTTGGTCAGTCGTAGCGCATGCATGACAACACGCCTCGGAAAGGCTCTTTGTGCAGTGCATGGTCAAAATTTTACAGTATTTAGTCGCGAACCTAAAGTAAAAGAGAAGAGGAAATGAAGGAAACTGAGAGAGTGACGAAGAGCTGAGCTAGGATTTGAAAAACTGATTAATAGGAGTAAATTGGAGCTCATAAACATCAACGGTAAGCTTCCTTGCTTATATCTTCCTCTCTTCCATTTTTTTGATGGTAAAGGTTAGAGTTTGATTGTTAATGGTGATTTTTAGTCCATAGAAGTTATGAGTCCGAACCATTAACTTAAATATAGTTAATGAGAGTAGATTGTGCTAAGTAAACTTGTTTGGGTATTTATGGTTTTATGATAATTGGTGGTTGGAGGACATTAAATGTCTGAAATTTTTATATGAGGTCGTTGGGAATAATGTGGTTGCATTAATGCCCATTTAAGAGCTCAATATTACTAACGAGAGTTAAAGGAAGCTAAGAAGCCTTATGAGTACTTTTACATGAGTCAAGAATAAATATTAAGTATTAAGAAGATAAAATGTTAGTGAAAATAGCTCAAAATGGATATTGATATTTTGCAAAGTAAATGCTTGTAGTGTAACTACTATTGGCATAATTCAAGCTTCTTTAAAGCTTTAGGAGTGAGTAGTTAAGGGGTGAAACCTTTGACCTCTCAAAGATTTAAGGAAACCGGGGAATTCTATCTTATGCTTATGTGTGTATTAGTTTATTGATTTACGATTTATCATTGAAATGTGTAAAATAAAAATAAATGCAAGTGTGACTTAATTTATTAGGAAATCTACTAGATCCAATTGTAAGTTTTATGCTTTGTGGTGTAAAATTTCTTGAGAACAATAGTGGCAGATTTTTTCATATTAATGTTTATTAGGAGTTCAATGATTTTGTAAATTGAGAAGTAATATGAATCTTTGTTAAGAGAAGTTCAGTGATTTTTAAAATAGTGAAATTCAATGATTTTGAAAGTGTGAAGTACAATGATTGTGAGTTGGAGTCCAATAACTTACTTGTTTGAAGTTCTATGAAATGTGATTGAGAAATTCAATGTTGTGTAATGATGAAGTTCAATGAAAATTGATATGCAAAGTTCCATGAATTATATATGTGTGAGTTATGGCATGATTTTGAGAGGCGGGAGTTCGCCTAGGAAATGGAGTGGATGTTAAAATTCATATAGTAAGACCATCTATGTGATGATTTGCCTGTATTGATTTTATCCATATTGTCTCACTTATTCAATGAGGGACTCGAACCTAGCTAGTTATTCACCAGTTTAATAAGGAAGCTAGTTTAGAGTGTATGACACCCCATAGTGTGAGAATGGGGGAACTCGTGTTCCATAAGTGAGTTGGGTGTGCCTTGACCTGGTAATCTCTCACAAGTGTTTAGGCTAAGGAAGTCAATGAATATAGGCTATCCCATTGAGTTATAGCACACTGTTTCGTGTCAGAGGATTAAGGAGAATATGAGGGAGGTGTGATCATGCATATAGTAAGTAAAGGCACTTGTTTGTAGCACACTGTTTCGTGTCAGAGGATTAAGGAGAATATGAGGGAGGTGTGATCATGCATATAGTAAGTAAAGGCACTTGTTGTCTATATTGAATTTATAATGATAACATCTTGAGTTGAGTTTAAATTTTTGCCATTATGTTTGTCAACAATTTTTGTGACCTACTCTCTTATATAAAAAATGCTAAAAGCACTGTTTCCCAAGTAAATGCTATTATGTGAGCTGAATTGTGAATATCTAATTTCAATTGTTTCATATGGCTAAAGTATTAGTATTAACTGTCACTTATATTTAAACTAATTGACATGCATTAGTATGGGTTAGTCGGACCTTGGTTACTGAGTAGTTATACTCACCCTATTATTTTCAATATTATAGGGAATAGCTTAAGAGGTGTGGATAGAGAAAAATACCTAGAGGTTTAGGATCACAATCCCTTGTAGTAGGCCTCCTTATTTTGAGTAAACTTATGTGTATGACAATTTTAATTGCCAACTAGGATTTTTCTTTTATTACTTACTTGCATTATGTAAGATGTAAATTGTAATAATATTTTAGGCTCTAAAGAGGGAGTTGATGATTATGTGTCATGATAATCGGGCCAAAATATTAATGCAAGAGAGGGTTGAGAAT